TTAACCAGGCCAACCCAGAATTCAACCCGAGTCCGACCGGGCTGATATGGCTAGTATTTCCATCAAAATCCAAAACACTCAATTCCGAGACCAGGGCGATCCTCGCTATGATCTCAATCCAGACGGGCAAGGATTCTTCCACTGTCCCGAGGAATTCAGGTGCGAGCACGAGACAAAGAAGCAGAGGTCTATGCCCTGAAACGAAGTGTAAGGGTTTACTTTCCCGCCGGCAGGAGACGCAGGGGTGTTTTCGGTTGGACTGATTGCCCGCCGACCAGCAAAACTGCTAAGCATCGCCCAGAGGGGTTTGGCGTCGTCCCAAAAAGGGTGGGTTAATCACGTGCAACTGGCTGTACGCCATTCCCACACTGGATTAGCCTCACATGCCTGAAACAAAGTATAAGGGATTTATACTTTCCCGCTGGGCAGGTCTCCCCGTGCCTACAAATTAGTCTGCAAAAATAATAAATCATAAAGTCTTCGACTATACCTTTGGACTTCCATACGTCAGTACCATGTGGTAGGATGAATCAATAGTTAGCATTGCCCACGTCTAAAACAGCCGCGTGCAACAGCATCTTTTCAGTTTTGGGTGCGGGGTTGTCCTATGACTTTAAACTCTGGAATGCCATGATTCCCCTACGCAGGTGCGGTAATCAAGGATGCGGTTCCAAGGGGCCTCAATCTATTGATAAGTTCCGGGTTAAGAATGATGGTACACGGAACCTGATGTGCATCTCCTGTTGCGTGTGTTTGCCGCGGCTTCCTTCTACTCCCTGCTAACATGCCACGTAGGAAAGGCACCGGCTATATAAGGAGGCCTACCACCGTCGGCAACGAGCGTCTGCTAGTAATACGTCACATCCGCTTTCGATACCAGAGCGGCTGCCTCAGACCGGGATGTTATCCCCCGCGCCATCTTTTGACCCTTTCCGTAATGCACTTAATTTAGGTCCGGCTCGGCTCGCACATGGGACCTCGTCCAGCTCTATGCCAGCTTTTAACCCGTTCCTGAACTCTCTACCAGAACCACTATCGACGGAACATCCCACCAAGAGACGAAGAACTGCAGCATACCTTACGGCGCCAGACGCCGTGAAGCTTGCCGTGGGTTTGCTGGAGGAGGAGTTTAAGCTTCGAGAGACCGCCTCTGAAATATTCCCGCCAAGGATCTCCTCCTCGTATATTCGAGCTTCTGTTAGTATGAAGACGAGATGTTGACAGCGTCTGAGAGGTCCGTGTGCTGTTGTTGTGGCAGGCTAATTGCCGCTGGAGATATCTATGAGATCTATGACGGGTCCCATTTCATCTTACCACCACAACGTACTCTCGATCGTTGTGGCCATCATGAGAACTCTTGGGACTTCTGTACGTCCTGTCACGGGGCGGTTGGTCGTGGCAACATTCCCAAATTCTCCGCCTCAAACCTCGTCAACGTCACGACGTGCCAGGACTATCCGTCCGCGCTAGAAGATCTTACCGCAGTCGAAGAATGTCTCATTGCAAAGTGTCACCCTGTCGGCACCATCCTCAAATTGCGGCCTGCCGGCCGTCCCTCTCCCTCCAGCTATAATGCATTACGAGGTCATATAATCGTCATTCCGCAGGATCCGGGCCCGCTTCTCCAGATCCTCCCCAGTCCCGAGCTGAAGCTGGATAACCTTATGAAGGTTATCTGGCAGGGAGAACGAGCGCCGGGCGATGCAGATTTGAAGCCGTTCTTGCAGGTTCGGAAGGATAAGGTCCTCCCGGCTTTGCAATATCTCGTTCAGCACAACCATCTGTATCGCGACCTCACTATCAACCATGCTATGATAGACGGCTGGAATGAAGATTTTATCCCGCCCGAAATCCGTGACAACATTATCTGTCTTGGGAGCTCAGACCATCACGAACGTGAGGGATATACAGTTAGCCTGCAGACTGGCAATTGTGAAAATGATCTCCAGGCCGCGCAAGATGACGTTCTTGACTTGGATGATCATGAAGCGCTGATAACCGGTTCTGTCTATACAGATGTCAATGGAGAACGACAAGATCCGAACGTGCGGTTGATAGACACCTTACGGAGGGTAATAGCTGGCAATCCATGTGCGACCGATGAAAATGCGCCTGCTGCGGATGAGAGCAGGCCTGCGCAGGGAATCTTGCCGACGATTTCTTATGCGATGCGCGGACAGTCGGCCTTGATGAGCAATTGGGAAGATCCTCATTATTTTACTGCTTTCCCTACCCTCTTTCCAAACGGAAGAGGGGGCCACCAAGAGGAGAGGATTGTGCCGGTGTCGCTTACAGCTTTTGCAGAGTGGGCGTTGAATCACCATAGCAGGAGGTAAGCAGTCATTGTTTGCCATTACGGAAGTTTAAGTCTAATCATCTTTACAGATTCGCACGCCACAAGACATTCATGTACCTTCTTTACGATGTATTACAACTCCGAAGCTCGTCTCTTGGAAACGCGCTACTTGTGAAGCGTCGAAACTGGAGGTCGGCCGAGAAAGGTATAGCCTCTTTGACAGTGGACCAGCTGGAGGATGCTGCAAAGGTTGTTGCCGACGGAGGGGTCATTGACGACCCTGTGATTCAATGGCTACAACGAAATATTGTGACCATTGGGATGCAAGTACCGGAGTCTTTCTCACAAAAGGTAAAGAGGCGCTCTGAAATCAAAGGCTTGATCGTGCGAGATGGAATGCCTGCTTTTTGGATAACCATTAACCCCTCCGACTTGAGTAACCCACTAGTCCTATTGTTAGCTGGCATTGAACATTCCGGAGACGCCTTCCCGACTGCTAATGCGGCAATCCGCCATGCGACGGCAACGTCGAATCCTGTTGCAGTTGCCCAATTCTTCCATCACACCTGTAAAGCGATCTTTGATGGGCTTCTCGGCTCCAAATCCGGCCGAATTGGCATCCTGGGACAGGTCTCGAATCATTTCGCGGTGGTTGAGACGAATGGTCGTGGAATGCTACATCTTCACGCTCTGGTGTGGCTTACTGGCAACCTCGAATTCAACACTTTGCGCGATCGAGTTCTGCGAGACAAGGCTTTCGCCTCTAGGATGATACGTTACCTAGAAACTGTCATTGTACATAGCATAGACTTGGATGTTGAAGGTAGCCCTAACGAACCGGCACTCATCCCACTTTCCACTAGAATAGCGGAAACTGACGACGAATTCCACTCTAGGCTGTCCGCTGACAGCAATGCTATTGCCTGCAAGAAACAGGTCCATTCATCGAATCACAACGCTACTTGCTTCAAGTACAGTCAAAAAGGACAAGGGTCGAAGGCTTGTAGATTTGAGATGCCGCGTCCCAACTCCGAATTCGACGAGTTAGGCGTAATCCACCTTACTCGCAACCACGGCTGGGTTAACCCATGGAACCCAGCAATTGCCAGCTGTATCCGTTCCAATCAAGACATCTCGTGGATCCCTACTGTGGCAAAGACGTTGTGCCTTATTTATTATGTCACGAATTATGCAACAAAAGATGATGTTTCTCCATACCAAATGCTGGTCAAGGCTGCATTGTTGAAGCAGTCAATTGAGAAAGCCAAAGCAACTTTGACACCAGATGCCAACGATCTGCGGATTAGGAAGAAAGACATGGACCAGTTTGCTCTTCGATGCTTCAACACTTTGTCTCATGATCGCGAGATCAGTGGTGTGCAGATAGCGAGCTCCCTACTTCAACTACCAACCTACTATACCCGGAACTACAATTTCGTCCAAGTGAATCTCTGGTGGCTCAGGCAATACGTGCGTGCTGCTATAGATCCGGCTCAATCCGCAGTCGACGACTCTATCGACCTGATGGGTGATGAGCAGTGTGCCTACCAACCAGGGGACAAGGGCCCTGTGAGCCGCTTCGACAACTACAAATGGCGAGGCCCGCACCTTGCCCATCTATCATTCTTCGAGTACTGCATGTTGGTGCGGACCAAGAGCGTCCGTGACGCCATAGCAGCGGACTTGGAATTTGACCCCAAGCATCCGAAACAGGGTGTATACGTGCAACACTTGGCTCGCAAGAAGTCTCAGGTGGTAACTGTCACCTTCAATGGCCAACTTTCCCAATTCCAAGCCGACGAGGAGGGTGTTGCAGGAGGACACCCGGTGACGACCGCAATGCAAAATGATCTCGTCGAAGTGTTATTAGGGTTGTTTGTGCCGTGGAACCAATTGCCGGCCCTCTCCCGACAATATGCAGCTGACTGTGGGACAACGCAGGATGCTTATACCAAGATTTGGAGCATCGTGGAGCCAACACTTTCTCCACATAACCGCAACTTCGCAAGTAACATTGAACTCTTGCGAAAGTCCAAGGAGGATTCTCGAATAGACGCTGCGCTCCGCAGAGCGATGAACGGGTCTGAGGACACTTTTGATCATGACTTAATGATGAAGTAGCTGCCGATTTAGTTTTCGACGTCGAAGAGCCTTTGGATACGTTGAATGAAGACTTCAGCACCGAGACCTTAATAACGGCGTACCATTCGGTTGCGTTATCCTGGCGGAAGGAAAGTCTTATTGCTGGGCAACGTATTCCTACCTTATTGGCCGGCACGACCCAGGCTCGGGGCCTGCAGTTAGAAAGCCTCGTCCCACTCGATATTTTTCGACTTGACACCTACGCTACTTCTGGCCTCAGATTCTTCCCTCCCGCTACACTGCAACGCTGGGAGTCACAAATTAAGGGTCTTATTAAGTTTCACGAGACGGAAGACGTGGGAGTCGAAGAACGCCTTGTGTATGAGATGGATGATTTCGACCTCGACATAGAAGATGGCGTTTTACATCCTATTCTAACTTCACCAGAGAGCGCTCCGGACCGACGGTCTCAAGTTGGCGACAATCCTACTGGTTCGAGTCTCACATTGCTCGTCAATGAAGATATTTCTCTCAACGAAAAGCAGCGGGTTGTTGTAGAAAGAGTGCTTTCAGGCGCGTTAGCTTGGGCGACCCACGCCTACGACGCCTCCAAGCGGGATCAGAAACTCCTCTACGTTGGAGGGGAAGGCGGAGTTGGCAAGAGCCAAATCATTAAAGCCATCGTTGCCGGCATGGATCTTATATGTCGCAAAGAGGAGGTCATTCTGATGGCACCGACAGGAGCAGCGGCGGATAACATCAGCGGCAACACGTATCATACAGCCCTCGGTATTAGCATCGCCAAAACGCAGAGGACAACAGTAAGCACTCGCGTCAGGAAGCTGTGGTCCAGGAAGACGGCCATGATCATCGATGAGGTTAGTATGACAGATTTAAGCATGCTGAGTACCATCAACAATCAGTGCAAGATTGCGAAGTCCCTCGATAGAAGCTCGCCCGACCTCTTTGGTGGGCTGCCTATCGTTATCCTCATGGGAGACTTCCACCAGTTCTCACCCGTTAGAGGCCCAGCGCTATGGAAGGAGCCAAGAATTGGGAACGACGAAGACGCGAATGGACGAATCATCTGGCACCAGTTCAACGACGTCATCGTCCTAGACCAGCAGATGAGACAGGCAGAAGACCCTGCATTCCGGGATCTACTAGGTCGAGCGAGAGCGGCCACATTAACGGAAGATGACCTAGCGTTATTGAACAGCAAGACAACAACGTCCCTCCTTGCACCGGATTTAGAAAACGCAACCACTATTGTTAAGCTTAATGTTCTTCGTCACCACGTTAATCGCCTTCAAATGGAACACTTTGCCCGGACCCGATCCCAGAGGATTTACGTCTTCCCAGCGGTGCACCGCCGGATCAGGACTACGGGGCCGTCCCGCCTATACGCAGAGGACTTGCTACAACAAACTGACCAAGGCACCGGGATCCCCTTCCCAGGCCTTTTTCTGTATGCCCGGGAGATGCCAGCTATACCGCGGACGATCCGTTCCCTTATACGTACGACGGGTCTATGATGGCTGAAGGTGGGGTTATGCCCAATGCCGGGTACGATATATCCAGCTTCGGCAGCCAAGCTTCAATAGCGGTTGAATTGTCAGTACTGGGATACCAAATGGAAGGTAAAGAACCTGGCTACTCATTTGGCATGCGCGGTGTGTATCATCTTGGAAGCCCTTCACACGGTACGACGACGACACCGTCCAAGAAGCGCAAGGGCGGGTGCATCATAAGTCCAAGACGGCACAAAACCGGAGTATTCAACGCGGATCCATCACGACACGACTGAGGTGTGCAGGTTTGGACATGTGGATTCCTAACTCAACCTTACTAGTGGAAACTGGAAAACAGCAAGGTAAGGGAGAGGAGTTGAAATTAACTTTTATTCTGCGTGTGGCTACGCCCTTCTTGCTAGTCATGTTAGACTGGCCTATGCAAATAAGAACTGATTACGTGCTGTTGAGCTGTGGCATTCTCATTTGAAACTCTGTAACAAAAACTCTGATTTATAACCATCCATCATCTCGACCACACGTCCCCCTTACTAGCTGTCTTCTCAACTTACCCACGTGATTTATGGCTCCCTCAAGATCACTTGTCTCACGCCCCGTTTCTGCTCACCTTAGGTTTTGCCCTGCAACGTTTCAGGGCCTCGGCGTGCGGAGCGCGCGTTACCAGTACAGTACTGTTGTTGATTGCTCTTTGATCTAAAACAGTAAATAACTTTGTAGTCTTTCCGTACGTCACATGATTACTGGTTTGCCGAGTACATAGTTGGCCGTTACGTCAAGATAGTCACGTTGCGCCAAGCGTTCTGTTGTACCTTCCATAACTGATCAACTATCTATCTCCCTAGTACTGTACATCAGGCGATTGCAGAAGTTCCCATCAGAATTCCATACAGTATTACACACGTTTTCAATTGCGGCTTCGGGTCTGTAGTAGTTGTAGTAGTTGTAGTTTATTCCATTGGCTGTGCAGACAGATGTCTATGTAGCCCCACTCCTAGCTAGTCTTTCTACATTTCCGCCTATCGTTTAGGGTTCCTGATTCATTCGACAGCCCTCGCCAAGCATAGTACCTACCTTTACTTACCTGCTCCTCCACCGAGCGTATGTCACGATTGTCACGATGATCTTCTACCGCATTCCCTCGCCCCGTGTTCAGTCTCCCCATTGACCCCCTACATCTGATGATCGTCTTGGTCCCCCTCGCTGTTCCATGAGATTGTGGCCAGAGCTTGATTCTGCGTTATCGTACTTTTATCATGCTAATATGGGCCTCTTTACCAGGTGTCGAAATTGAACGTCGTTGGTTGGTGATAGTGAAAAGTGTTTTGATTGTCGCTGGAGATGCAGCTCTCTAAGAGGCTGGCTACTGTGTAGAGGAGTTGAGGAAGAATCAGGCTGGGTTTCTGATTGACCGCCTGATTCGGTTCGAGTCTATGGAACGAGCTGGTTTGATGCCGGAAGCGGCGCTCGAGGTCGTGTATCGAGAGGATGGGCGATGATGCGGGGGGTGAGCGGCGTCGTGTTGGCGTGGATGATGGCGTGATCGGATCGGTTCTGGTACGGAAGGTTGAAGGTGCGCGTTGGGAGGGCGTTGCTGTAGTTGGCGGTGCTAGTCGCTGGGACTGAAAGGGGGTTGTCGTTATCGGCTTTGGTGGTGTCGCGGTGGAAGGTTGACTAAGCTTTAGAGGTAGAGATGGCGATGTCGGGCAGTGGCACGACGCGACGGTAGCATATGGCGGGCGGCTGGGGGAACTGGAGCGGGAGGGCGAGATTAGCGCTTGAGGTATTCTTGTGGAGGCTGGCGAAGGAATGGCCGTAGCGTCTTCTCTTGAGGGTAGTTCTTGAGGGGGCTCAGCAGGTGGTTGTGTTGACGATGTTGGTGGTGGGACTTTTGGGGATTGAGGGAGAGATTGGTCTATTTCGGTGTAGATGTCCTTCGCGTTATTGAACATATCGAATATCGTATCTGCAAGGACACAGTCCCCTGTGTGCTCGCCGAGAAGCCCGTTATTTGTCAATATCCCTTCCGAGATCAGCTCTGGTATCCAAGGATGACGGTGATGACGATGACGTCGATGGTGGAGATGGAGATGGAGATGACGACGGGAGGGACAGCGACAGCGACCGACCTTATCCGCAGAGCGATTCACTACGGAGCCTGGTGACAGGCGGACATGGAAAAGCAAAGGCGGACGGTAGCTACACGACATCCACGACATCCACGTCGTCAACCAGCCCCCCAGCATCCCTGCTCGACGGCAGCGACACAAGTACCCCATTCTCTCCTTGAGCTTTCCGAGGAGGGGCAGAGTGACCTCCCCGCAAAGCGCCCAGCCGTGCGGGAAGCCCTTGAACTTTCTGAAACCGTTCACACGCAGAGGAGATACCATGGCGAGACCGTCGATTACAGTAGTGACCCCCACTGAAGAAGCAGAGGAGTTTTAGCTTCTGCACGCCATCTGGAAGAGAGAGCGAGAGAAGTGAGAGACAAAGGTGGTGTTGTTTGGGGTGCGCCTTGGCATGTGCCCAACGGGAAAAATCGAGCACGCGACTATTGACCCCGCGAAACTCCTTATCCGCTCTATCTTTGAATCCACTCTCGCTCGCGTCTGAATCCACAATAGCCATAAATTCACATCAATGACTCTATGCGCCAATGCTCATGGACAGTGAAAAACGCTTGTGATACGGTAGCCAAAAATCCACCCCAAATGATACTGATGCTGAGTAAGTCGTGACGCCACACTCGAAGGACGAAATCCGAAGTCTATTCCAAAATCCAATCATGCATCGTGCCAAGCGCACTGCCGTCTCCACCTCGCGCGACATAGAGAGCCAAGCCACCCATGCTAAGTGGTACTTCGCCGAGGTCAAACCGTCCCTCTCTAAGTTACAGGGGCAGTGACCCTGACGGATTTCGGCCTTTTGCCTCACGTGTTCGACGGGATGATGGCCTCCAGTGCAAGGGAGCCCCAATGAAGAATGAGAGGGGAGATTTTGAGAAACCACCTCACCCAAAGCCATCGGACAGCTGTGGCGGCTCGACCAGATCGGGCCGGGGGAACCAAAAGAGTCGGTCATTTACCTCCCTCCAAAACGGTGGAGGAGCGATTTTTGAAATCGAAAGTTTGCTTTACTGAGGCCCTTTTTGGCCCATTTTAAGGGTTTTCCTTTTTCTATTTGACGTCGTTCTTTCGACGTTTTGGTTTCGCCGATTTAAACAACGTGCCGACGAATACCCGTTTCGTGGCCCCGTTCAGCCCGTGTCCGGGATAACCTGCTTTTCACCTACCCCGACGAAAATCGAGTACGGTTCAAAATAATTGGGCTCCCTGTCCATCCCTCGAACAATTTTGCACCATTTGTTTCCATTTCCATCTGGCATGGCACAGTACACGCGGAGCGGGTGGCGGGGCCCAAGTGTCTGTTCGATGCCGTGTTCCGCACCGGTAGGGGTATATATGCGCTGCGGCCCCTGGCGACGAGAAAAAGATCGTACCTTGCTCGGCGACGACCCCGAGAGAAGACACACGCCCCGAGCTTCGTATAGTAACACCGCCGTCCTCTTGTTGTAATTCTGTCGAGGCGGTCCAGCTGGGCGGACGGACATGGGCTGACACTAACCACGGGGCGGCACACATCGGATCGAAAGAGATCGAAAAGGACTACGACATGGGTCCTGGGCTGACGAACGAGGCCGAGCCATGGCGTTCTCACGCGGGTGGCAATGACGTGAAGTTGACAGGCAGTGACGGAGAAGAAATCATTTCAAGTATCTGTCTCGCTTCTATGTATGAATGAAGGTTGTTCCTGATCGCGTTTACAGAGAGAGACGTCGCCTGCCAATCCGGGTTGATCAAGGGCCTGATCGATGTCGTCGGGGAAGAAGAGGCCATCTTGATGCCCATACCGTCATCGACGTTGAAGCTGGTCTTCCAATGGGCAGCCGTGAAACCTGACACACTAGATCGATTAGGTCGATACCATGACCAATGGAGCCAGCAAGACCTCCCGACCAAAGTGGAGCTAGTATGGGTGAGTCGGAGCATGCAGGATGCTGCCACACTGGTACTAACACCGGCGGCGGCAGGCAACCAACTATCTCGACATCCCAGATCTCTGGGAAAAGGCGTGCACATCACTAAGACTGACGTTGGAAGATCTCGCTCTCGCCAATTGGCTCAGCACATCACTCAACTCTATCCGTCTCGCCCTCGACATCCCCGACGACCTCACGGTGGCGCAGAGGCAGCGCATCAGACTCGAACGGATCTCCCTGGACGACTACTTCTATGAGGCCGAGCGTGAGAAACTGACGGCTGGACCACGCCGCGACGCCGACCCGGACCTCGCGGCCCCTCGAGCGGTGGTCGACTCGCCGCCGCGAGACGGGTGGATGATGGAGACCTCCCTGGATATTGCAATGGATATACCGTGCCGACGCTTGAGCGATCTATCGTACGATTGCCTGGAGATGGTCTTTGACAAGGTGAGTGCAGCTCTTGAAATTCAACGCGCCTGGGGGGTTTACTTCGTTCCCGGCATCTGACAAGAGTGGTGGACCAGATGACCTACTCGACGATCGACACGCTGTCATTACTGTCCACGGGGTTCCACGATCTTGTCGACCCGTGGATCTGGAAGGAGGCCAGGGTCGCCACGCCCTGGGGAGATAAATCGCGGTACACCTTTTCGGAAATGCGTCAGCTCTCCCCCCTGGCATTCGCCGACGTGCTCTCGCGTCCGCAACAGGCGACGTGCTTGAAGATCTTGCACATCGGCAACTTGAGCAGTGGTCGGCTGGACGAATTCTTGCTTAGACTCCCTCGGGCGGTGGCGTTGCAGGAGGTTTGGTGAGTGACACCTGATCCGGAGTACCATGACCCAACGCGGGGTTGACATCCCGGTTGTAGCGTAGAGACCGAGACCGACGTCGCACAGCTCTGGTCGGCCCTGAGCGGTCTCAAAGACCTGCGGAAATTGACGGTGCGCGACAGTCACGGATATCACGCCGCGGAATGGAGGGAATCCCGGCTGCGGTCGTTGTGCTTGACCGCGGTGAGCGACCGGGCCTGCGAACCACTAGAACTTCCGCACCTCGAATCCCTATCGATGCGCAGGGACGAAAATTATGTGTTCCACCCAAGCTCCGTCGTGGACCTCGGCCTCCTGAAGAATTTGAAACACTTGTCACTTTCCAGAACACAAGACCTTGATGCCTCCACGATCAAGGGCACCGCTGGGATGTTGACAAGTTGCGAATTCGAGGCCGTCCGTGGCGACTTAGATAACTTCTTCAAGAGGCACTCTTCCAGCCTCGAATCGATCAGTCTCCGTCACTGCGGCGATTCGATCTGCGCGCACTTCCCCCGGATGCGGGCGGTACATATCTTGCAATGCACCCAAGGGATAATCTCCGGATCCAGCCTGCCCCGCCTCACCCATATCTTTGTGGATGAAAGCGCCCGTTGGAAACACGGCCAGACATTCAACCCATGCGGAGAGTTTGCGGCGAACTTGGCAAGCACCGTGCAGAGCTTGGTGTTCGTGGCAAACCATGAAGGATTTTACGGTGCTGAGCCTTCTTGGTTCGAACCATTGACGACAGCTCCGTCACTGCTGGATCTCCACCTCCGGGGGATGCACCTACCGGCAGTTTTGGATACACAGTTGTTCCAGCGCCGTCTGCGGCACTATTCCGTCGGTCGAGACTTTGACCTTGAGCGGGAGCTTCCGGAATGGGATCCCGATCATCTGTTGATACCGACCCGCCAATGTGTTGCTCGGCAAGAGCGTGCGCGTCGATGGTCAGCACGCCAACGCCAACGCTAGTCAGGACTTGCCGGCGTCACCGGGTCTGGTTGAACCAGCTTGCCCGGGACCGCTTCTTCATCACCATGTCGACCCTCTCACTACCAGGGCGATGCTCTTCTCCGACGAACACGCCGCTCGGCTTTGGCGGAACCGGAACTGGGACGATACAAAGTGCCATACCAGCGAGGTTTACAGTTGTAGAAAGAGGTATAGTCTAGAAATCTTGGGCTTCTTCAAGGTTCGCCCGAGACGGGTCGAGTTGAAGGGAAGATCAACATTGTTCGAGAACTTGAGTGAACGTCGTATAGTAATTCACCCGGCTTCCGGGAGATCCCAGAACGCCCACGCATGAACAAACCGTTGAGAATTGAAAACATCAGGGTATAAACATTGATTGCGTCTGAATCCCAGATGTAGGGCCTCGTTAGAAATGAAAGTCATGGTGAAAGTAGAAGACTGCTTAGTTTGCGAAAGAGCTTCGCGACATCTCGTCTCTGCGTATCCGACTCCGTGGGGGTTAAAGAAAGATCGCGCAGGGGCGACTTCTCACTTAGCTACGCAAGAGTAACCTTTTGCTTGTGTGCTTTCACCCCAACGACCGTCAACGCGTTCAGGAACACATTGACAATGCCGATTTTCTGCGAAGCGTTTTAGAGCGGCCATACAGTATACTGAGAGATTAAGAAGGGTTGGTTATCCATACACTTCTTTCGGCCGAATCCAAACTCGATGAAACCGACGCCATGCGGCCAACTGGTCGGCTCTACGTTGCACCTTTTGTATGAGTTTAAGGCTCCTAAGTCACCGGAAATCTATCTCAAGCGGCTCGCCCGGTGGATGGTCAAACGCCTCTGGAATCTTGAAGACAAGTGCAAGGCAAAGTTTGTCAGAATTATCCCCCCAAGAATAAAGGTTGGGGGGACGCTTTTCAATGGCCCACACAGGAATGAACAAGTACCCTGGGGCGACCCGCAACAGGAATCCAAGCTTAGGCTCTGACAGCACTTCTCCCTGCTTTGATTTCGACAATCAGCGGTTTTCCTTTCTACCTACTGAATGGGCACCAGCAATGACCTCCCTAACTTATAGTTCACAGATGTCCATCGTCGCCCTCGAACGTCAAGCATATGGAGAAACTTACAACGATGAATTGATGTGGCTATTTGAAGGTGAATCATTACATCTCGGCACATTAGTGGCTGAATTCGGGGCTGGGGGTTACTAGCAGCGACCGTCGCTCAAAGTAGAGAGGATGAGGAAAGGTGGCAGTCGATGGATTTTTGCGCAACAATTTCCGTTACAGTATCTTAACGGCGAAATCTCCTCAAAGAGGGCCGGTTACGACATAACAATGAAATATGGCCCGGAAGCAAGATCGTCCTGGTGAGGTAGCGCATTTCTGGAGAATGGACATCTGTTCCGAGGACGTGGACAAATTTTGCCAAGCCACTGCTTGGTATTCAGTCCATTTATCGTAGCACTCAGCTCTCACAAAGCCAGAGACAACTCATCGTCGGACAGCACAATGTTTATGGCACGGACCGACCAGGCAAGCGACGAGGAAAACACAACCCGAGAGGGACGACGAGCTACGTGTCGGCACGCAACAGCTCTGAGGGGATATATCTCGTGTGAGGCCCGCTGATTGGATTATACTGGGCAACTCCGACGAATCAGTGAGGTAGGATGATCGAGATTTCCCTCTTACACCGCTGTGCTCATGGTTCTGGTGTATACGGTTAGATCCTGTACTGTACAGTAGTAATTCCCGACACCGCCTGGAGCTCGCTGCCAATAGCTTGAACTAACCCACGGCGGTTCTGGGAATCCCAATTAGGTCGGGGTGCTCTTGGGACAGCGCAAAATTCAATACCGGTAGGCGATGTAGGGCTGCAGCTGATAAATGGTGGCACACTAGTGGGGACCCCATCGATATACAGTACCCCATCGGCCATCAAATCGAAGTTGTGTCGATGACCAGAATCCGACCTGGAATTTGTTGGCCCTGGTACAGCGTATTGCCCAAAAAAACAAAAACAGGTGGATCCCGAGGGAACCTATTTCCAAGCGTCTGGCCAGGATTTTGGACGTCAGTCCTAAGCCCGTTCGACGCTCTGGAAAATTGGCGTCTTGTTTTAATTTCTCCCCCGGTCACGCCCCATGTCCATCCGGTATGCCCGACGGTCCAGCAAGAAGCAAAGTCCCATAGACAAAAAGCATAGGGATGGGCGGCAGCGTGCAATCTCAGCCCCAGCCTCATCGGAACCCTAACCCAACTGGAGAGCACTAACTGAATATTCAACCAATAGAATTAGTGAAATATCACGACCGTCCCCGGTACGTGAAATCGAGAAAGACTTGGATCATGATCTAGAGCTTGAGAGAGAGCACCCTCTCCATCTAACTTTAGCTGAAGTGCATTCCATCGGTGGTTGTGTCATCATGTCGGGTGAACCAGATGATGGTCGCGTATTTGATGGGTATCCTGCTGGCCGAGAACTACAGGGAAGCTTCTCGTATGCTACTTCAGTGTATAGGTTGATTTGGTGCTAACCGAGAGCGGGATGGGTCTACCTTGGTGCTAGAACTTGGCTCTGGATCTTGCTTGCTTGCTTTTCTTTTCAACTTGCAGTTGTCTCAGCCTGGGTCATCAACTTGGTCCGTCATCATCGAGCATGTAGCTAACGGGGATGCAGTTCCGTGATCCCCAATCGATTTGGCCGGCGCTTACCCGATACGGCCGGGACCTCCTTGGCGAGTTTGATGTGATGGTCCCTGCGGCTTGACCATAGAGCTTCACTTCCGCACAATTTCGATGAACTTACTTCGAGTCACTATACGCCCTAAGCGAAAGCTCTGGAGTACAGTAGAATCTCCAAACGATTACAGGCGGCGCCGCTTCTGCGAACGTCCCGCGAACAACGAAGGCCTCGGAGTCGGCTCAAACGCACTCGGGCTCACTCGGGACCTGTCAGCCAATCCGACCGTCAAGTTCACACAATAGTTGGTGACAGCAACGGCGACACTGTGGACGAGGGCGCGAAGAAGAGACAGGAAGCACACATACTTTGAGGAATGGGCAGGTGCCCTCGGTTGCAGATCAGGTTCTGAGAAACAGTCGCGACTTGCTGCCCATGGCTCTGTATTTCGAGAATGTCAATTGTCCAAAGGCCGGTCTTCAGATCGACGTGAAGACCCCTTCAGGTCACACCGAGTATAGTGGGCCGCCTTTGGTTGAAACCATTGATCCGAACCTTACTCAAAGACCATCTTGTCGCTCGAGGATCAATACTGCGACAGCTCCGCAGTGTTGCGACGATCTAACACCGGCTCCTGCGGGCAAGGCTTTTGACAACGCTCTCGGGGCATCGCAAAGATATCACATTCCGGATCAACGCACCGCCGACGGGCGCCCATCAAGAGTTTGTGGCTCGGACCGTCCAGTAGCGGATGAAATACACCGATCTGCGGGAGAGCGACCAATCAACCGTGGAGAAGAAATCGTGTTGTCGACCAGGACTGCTAGAGTGATCGTAAACCAAAACGGAAGGAGATGTCAGGTGTTAGGTCAAATGCCTGGGTCAGAACTTATAGCCTTCCTGAAGGATCGGGCTACTGCTGAAAGATTTTTTTCTGAGTACGGACCTGGCCATGTGCTGGGCCCAGCATAGGTGGGTGGAGTAGGGCTTTTTCAAATGATGCTTCGGTCGCGATGCTCGTTGGGGGTCCCGGAGACGTCTGCAAATCACCGCCCTTAGATTCGCTCTGCGTGGTGCACAATTGAGGATCTCAGTCAGGGACTCGTCCGGCCAGCAAATCAACGTGTTCAAAGTCAGCCCCGAGGAAGCTCTGCTGTCCGTAACACTGGCGTGCATATTTTGTAGAAAGTTTCAGATATGTACGCGCACGCAATGTTGTCCCCATATACTGATGACTTCGGTCGTTACCTTGGCCGTTGAAATAGGCAGCCGTACCACTAGATTCGTTGTCGCCATCAGATGCAAAGGCCTCTCTGGAGGGCGGGAGAAAGGTCATTTTGTACGGAGGCTCCATAATATGATCATAGCTTGCCGAGAGGACGGATTCTGCGTTGGCGGAGGTGGTTGATTTATTGTGAATTACGGTAGTGGAAGCATACGTTGATTCTTATTCTGTCTATTCTCTACATTCTGTAGAGAGTTGAACTACACTGAAAGTGGTACTCTAGAAGCTTTCTCGCAGTTTCAACCTCATGATCGGCGGTTGAGCCTCATATCACCTGGAATTTCGATGATAAACTAAATATACGGAGGCAATTCTAATTGTCGGCAACTCTTTCTAGTTGAAGGCATGTCTGGATCCTGTACATTGTGGGATCGACACCTACGCTTACTGTCGCCTATCTTAACGGTTCCGTTCGATGTGATGAGGCAGGGAAGAAAGGGTTTTGAAGACAAGCGGTTGATGGTTATGTCTACGCAACGTGAGGGGTACAGTAGACGAGGGCGGACACCCTTCCCCGCACTTGAGTTGGCGCTAGCTTTGAACGGCAACCCTTACTCCCCCATGAAGAAGGGCGCTTAACTTACTTCTTGTAAGGAGCAGGCACACCCGTCCGAAGAGTCTTTCGTGAACTCGAAAGGTGCAACCGCGCGCCAACCTGAAACATTGTCAGCTGCCTCACAAAAGCATCGTTGATTGGGGAATATTCTGATCGACCCTTGGCGGACCCGTCACCCCAAGAACTTTCTCCCAGGCTCTGTGCCTGCTCAACCCATCGTGAATATACTCTCCCTACGCCCCCCTTTCGTATTTGCCATTAGTCTATCTCACCGTTCTAAGGATGATGGCTGACCGCTCCCATCGACAGGCTGTGTCTACCCCGCCTATCCCACCCTCTAACGAGTTTACCGCACTCGAAGCCAAAAGTATAGATTTGCAAGGAGTACGCGCCGCTTCTATGGCAGATCTCGAAAAATGTTTAGGACCGCTGGCGGCTGAACGAGAAAAGCCTCACAGCGACGAACTCAAAACTCTTATTGACGAACTCAAAACACTTATTGAAACAATCAAGGCCGAAGATGGGGAGATAACCATCGGGGACAAAATCGGAGGATTCTTAGGAGAGTTGACTGCGATACAGAGGAAGTTCGTTCAACGAGATGAGCTATTAAAAAAGGAGGAACAACGGCGTCTTACCAAAACCCAACAGCGAGAGGATAGGAACGCCATGCGGACTTGTCTTGAGATAGTCAACACGGCCACACAGAATTCCAATGCTGCGAGACGGGATATTGGTGACTCGGCAGATTGGGCGGATTGTGGAGACGAAAGAAGGGGAAACACGGGAAACACACCGAGCCCCCAGGCAGATGGAAGGTGAAATCAAACACTGCATTGGTGCCCGCGATACAATATTCAATGGTAGCAGTCACTTCTGGCCCTGAGTGACGGCAACGAGTTGCCACGCGGTATCACATCAACCATTGACGTAACGGCTGCTGAACCTAGATAGACTTTATTGTTTTTGTTGTTCTTAAGATGATGAAGTTTGGGCTCCCGACACGGATATCAATGCGTAGCTAATAGGACAAATCCCCCATCATATCACTTCCCGTATCGTTCCGCGCCATTCGTGTAAAGTTAGTCGAGCTCTTATTCGGCGTTGGAGAACACTGGCCGATGAGTAATTTCCAAGAGCGCCGAGCACTGTGCCAAGATCGCCCCGGGTTGATATCAGATGGGATTGAACCAAGCGAATACAGGGAGAGGAAGAACCAGTGCCAGATGAACCTGCACTGTACCTGGATTTGCCACGGCCATCAGACGCTGTCCTGGAAGAGTTTAGTGACGGTCCGCCGGCGCCCGAAGATGATATGGTCTAGTGACGGATGCGTAAACGAGAGATAAATTTAAGGATCCTGCAATTCTTTTGCCTACCAATGAGGCAATTCCGTCAGAGTGCTCCTATGTTTATATTCCCTCATAGTTACAAGTGGGATGGCTAGTAAAAGCTAAAAAGTTTCGTCCTGCCTTCTTACTTTGTGATTCCCATTACATCTCGAAATTTGGTTCGACCCTCCTCTAGCTGACCCAATCTATCGACCAGGAAATCTCTTTGTCTTTTAATAGAGGTAGGCTCGCCCAGCCACTTTAACACCTCATCGTCGCTCAACTTACTGATGAAGAGAGGCGATAGGATCTGATCCAAAACCTCGCACCGTATGTCATTTGATGGCTTGATTGGTAGCGTTTTGGACGAAGGTTTTCATTTGATCCTGTATCGAGTCAGCCAAACGGCTCGTATATCGTCGCGCTGGTAAGCGACTTACCTTGTGCAACGAATTTCAAGCCCACGGGAAACAAGGATTGGGCCACCGCGTCGAGGAATCGGAAAGGAGCTACAGAGCTGCAGTGACAGTGGTAGACTTGGTAGACAGCACCCGTAGCCAATCCGCCAAGGCCGCGTGGCAGCTCCCGCTGTTTTGTACAATTCCCCAACACATGATGGCTCACAATACAGAAGGCCAGGCGGTTGAGGGGAAATGCATCCGGTTCCCATAGGCCTCCCGTTGTAGCCTGTACGGGTGGAAGGAACAAAACATATTAATAGTAGCCGCCCCTGCGACGTTCGAGACCTGGCTATTGTCGTCCCTCATCCGGGGTGGAGCTAGCCGTGTAGGAGGAATCCTCGACGTCGCGACGTTTGGCAGCCCGTTCGACTTCCTGGTCAAAGGCGCTCTCGCGGTCCCGGTCAAGTACTTCTGGGGGTGTGTGAGACCGGCGGCGCTTCTTCATACCCGGTTTCCGGGGCATAGCCTTTTGCTCGACAACAACGGCACGTTCTTCGGCGACCACGAGGAACGTGTAAAGGTCCTGGCTGGGGATAACAATGGTGCTGTCTAAATTCCCAAATTGCCTCGTGAACTCTTCTGTCGCGAATTGTTCGAGTTGGAGCCGTAGTCCCGCCCCTGGATCGGGGTGCGGCCGGCCATTTTCGTCGCGGATTACCTCAAAGACCTGTGAGCATCATGGAAAGAACCATCACGATCGTACATACTTGGTCTGCCACCGTTTTCTGCGCCGTCCATATCGGACCGTCCACGCCGGTCTGCAAGACCGGTTCCCAGACGGAAAATGTCGCCCGCTTACCGACGTAATCGATGTCAAATCCAACCACGACGCGCACTTCGCCATCCGACCCGAGGATCATATCTTCTGCAATGACTCCCAATCTCTTTCCTTTCTGCGAGAATGCCGCCTCAATGACGAGACCTGGGTATGATTCCTGGACATGTCGAAATGAATCGTCGGGGTCATGTCTTCCAAATCGAATGTCTCTGGGCTTGATGGTCGTGGAACCGTCGGAGAAAATATCTTTCGCAAACTGCGCCGCCGGACCTGATCCCGAGGAAATTGAGGCTAAATCACGCAAAACCCTCGTCCGAAGCTGAACGAGGAAGGCTTCATGCTTTGGTGAGGGCATGCGAAGGGCGAGGATGTTGAGAGACGGCAGGTAATCCCAGCTGTCATTGTAGGTCAGTATTCGCTTCGAGGACGGGTTTCCATCGGAGGGTCACCCATACCGGAGCTTGTTGTTGCCAAATTCGTCTCCGTCGATCTCTCGCTGCAGGTCCGAGTCCGTGCCTGGCGCTACCCCAAACTCCAGCCAGGATTCAGTGGCGGTGCTTCTGCCAGCCTTGCGCTTCCTAATCTCGGTGATGATCGCGCGCAGCGGCGGTGTTCGTCTCTCTTGTGTCGGAGGCGGAGTGGGAGGAGGGCTCGTCAGGGTCGAAGACGAGGTCTTGGCTTGATCTGAGCCCCAGCGTCCTTTTTTCATCGTCGCAGACGG